ACAGTTAAATCGAGAGCTTCGCCTTTCGACTCAGCTCCTCTTCACCACAACGGTCCGATACAGCGACCGCATCACTGCCGACGCTGCACCGATCCACCTGTCAATCTCACGCCCCATCCTCCCCTCACTCAAGAACAAGACCCCGAGATACTTGAACTCCTCCACTTGAGGCAGGGACTCTCCACCCACCCGGAGAGGGCAGGACACCTTGGTCGAGAACCTCAGATTTGGTGGAGCTGATCTTCATCCCAGCCGCTTCACAGTCAACTGCAAACCTCCCCAGTGCTGCAGGTCCTGGATCGCTGAAGCCAACAGGACAACATCATCTGTGAACAGCAGAGACGAAATCCTGTGGTCCCCAAACTGGACCCCCTCCGGCCCCTGACTGCGCCTAGAGATTCTGTCCATCTCTGACATGTTAGTGCCACATGAACCATCTGCACCCTGAGGAGCTCCGACCTCCTGCTGGTGTCCAGAGTCACGACTGAACCCCAGAAGTCAGCGCAGAACTGTTTTCCTGAACATGTGAGACAGGCTTCGACTTTGACTCTGTTTTTATTGTGATTTTAAAGGTTGTATAGAGGATTTTCCAAGGAACGAGAAATCCAGCGACTGTTTGTCCTTTTTCAAATGTTGCGCATGCGTGAAACCACCCCCCTCCCCTACAGCTCCTACGTAGAAACGCCTCCTCCCTCCTCCTCCTTACACCAGAAACAGGTTTGTTTACAGCCGGTGCTGCACATGACTTGTAAACAACTAACTACAGTGTTGGTTAGGCAAGACGGAGAAGTGAGGAGCAGGGGGAGGAGAGAGGAGAGGAGAGGGGAGCGGTGCGCGGAGATTCCGTGCCCAGAGAAGTGAGGAGCAGGGAGAAGAGCGGATCGGGCAGCGGGGAGAGGAGCAGGAAAGGGGAGCAGAGAAGGTTGCGCGGAGATTCAGTGCGAATGAACTAGCTACAACACGCAGCAGCAAGCGGACTCTTTCTTTGCATTGAAAATTACGTTTTCAGACATAGGATATCACTTTCGTGTCCTTGAAAAACGTTTGTCTAGCTCTTGGAAATAAAGTACGTTTTCATAATAAGCAGAAGTTTCCTGTCCAGGAGTAATTTGTGGACCAGTGCGTCAGTCTTTAGACCCTGCGTCTGCTTCAGTCGCGCCATCGCTGGAATGAATCTTCAAGAATCACCTTAGTTTGGCTTCGCTGCTTTTCCCCTTGTCTTCTTCTTTCAGCGACCTCAAAAACGGACTTTCTTTTGCGGCGAACTGCTCCTGGATTCTTGTCGCCATTGCAACAAACTTTGTGCGAACTGCGAGGAAGATATAGGTCAAAAAAAGCCGCTAAAAACTGTTGCGTTGGTGGAGTAAACGGCGTCTTTGCGTCTGTGCATCTGTGGACTGTGTGACAGACGTACGTAAACCACGTACCGGCGGCGCACAGGCAAGTCAGTTACGCTACAAACATAGGGAGATTGATTGACAGCCTGTCAGCTCACAGATAACGAGGCAGTGTCGTTATCTACTGGCAAATGTTTAGCCCCACCACGTCCAGAGTTGATGAATTTTTATTCTCTTTTTTTTGGTCATCATAATTACAAGGCTCCTGCACCTCTATAATGCTATCATTGACAATTTGAAACAAAAAAAATCCTCCATACAACCTTTAATGTTTCTTCTGTGTATTCTGTAAAGCACTTTGAAGTACTTTGAGTATGAACTGTGTCGTACAAATAAACTTTCTGCGGAGTTGTTGGACTAATGATCTAATGTTCTCATATAAACACGTGCACGGTTCATTTTCTTCATCCATTATAATGAACCACTAACAAAAACTTAAAACATGTATTCAGTTGTTTTATATTTAAGTGTCGACAAATACAAAGGATGAAAACAAAAAGATAATAAAATCCACAATGTTGAAAGGTTTATGCAAAAAATAAAAATAAAACCTTGCACAGACCTTTATTTCATCACAGATAGTCGTTTGTTAGTTGTGTTATATTAAAATTTAACTTTATTATATCGAAATTTTACTTTTTGGTTGGGAGTCTGTCACTTCTATCTTACATCTTACTCAAGTAAAAGTAAAAGTATCTACTGAAGTAAAAGTATTAAAGTCCCTGTTTAAAAATGTACTTAAAGAGTAAAAAGTAAAAGTATTTTGCAGAGATTTTTAGAACAATTAAAGGATGAAATGTACTGATTTTGATAAAGAATGCAGCTGATTTTAAGTGATTTTTTTCACTTAATATCAGCTCTATTTTTTTTCCAAGTCGTTTTTGTATTTTTGTGTCATGTGTTGCTCAAAGTTGGGACCATAAACTGTATAAAAAAGTAAATTGTATCGTCTTACAGTAGGTAATGACTGGACGAGAATAGTTCACAAGATGTCAAGGATGCTTTATTGTGAAAACTGGATTGATTAATACAATATAATATGAGGTTAACCCACTCAAACTCGAACTGCACTCTTGTCAAAAAAGGCTCTATTCACGATTACCGGAGACGTTTGGAAACATGCCGATGACGACTTTTGGTGTAGTTATAAAACCGAGGATTCAGCAGCAGCGTCTTCACAACCTGACAAAGATTTCCATGGGGGACGTGAATCTAATCGCGTCTTCGATGTCACTTACAGGCAGATGGTCGTAATTGTTGATCTGCAGAACATAACGGAACACTACAATGATATCTTTTTTTAATTAAGTTCTCCAATTTATGTCTCTCTTTTTTTAAATTTTAATCTTCATGATTATTTATGTTTTGATTTGTTTTTATTATGATTTTAATGTATTTCTTATTCTGTAAAGCAGGGGTGTCAAACTCATTTTGGTCCAGGGGTCGTATCCAACCGACTTTGATCCCAAAGGGGCCGGATCAAAAAACTCATGTCATATAAACCCCCAAAAATAACAATAAGTTCAAATATTTGTGCAGAGAAACACAAATCTATTACAGAAATCTTTTTTTAATTGATGAACTCTTTCTTTTACAAAATATTATAATATTATGAACAACCTGAAACTTTAAGAAAAATACAATTTCAACACAATGTTTTTAACATGAACTTGTATAAATAGGAATAAGTCCATTTTTGTTGTAAAATCCTGCACTCGGCTCCACTTTTCTCATGTTGGACATTTTGTTGATGAGGGTGTCACGGTCAACAGTCAAAACGATCGTCCTTTAAGAGCGTTTGGAAAGAGACAAGTCTTCATTTGTGCTGCTCTGGTGGGAGGGGCCACGTACAGAGACGCTGGAGACGCTGCTGTGATAAACACCACAGAAAATTAACAATATTTTAATAAAAAATTTAATTAAAATATTTTAGTAAAAAATCAGCCGAGGGCCAGATTAAAGGTCTGGGAGGGCCGGATCTGGCCCCCGGGCCGCATGTTTGACACCTGTGCTGTAAAGCACTTTGAATTACTTTGTGTACGAATTGTGCTATACAAATAAACTTGCCTTGCCTTAAGTTAGACACATTATAATACACACATTAATAGGCAATAAGCACTTTAACAGACAAATGTCACAATGACGCTTTCTAGAGCGTTATTCATTCACTGTACACCTGGTGACAGTAAACTGTTACTGTAGCCACAGCTGCCCTGGGACAGACTGAGGTAAGCGCGGTTGCCAATCTGCTCCATCAGTCCCTCCGACCACCACCATCACCAGTGTTGGGGAGTAACAGATTACATGTACTGGTGTTATGTAATCAGATTACAAATTATGAGTAACTGTATTCAGTTACAGTTACTGTTTCAGTGAGTGGTGATTGGATTACAGTTACTTTGTTGAAATAAATGGATTACATGGCGATATTTTCCTGTTTTCACATTTAGGGCTAAACCAGGACTAAACCAGGTCTGACAATATGACATGTAACAGTAGGGTGGATATTTTATTGTTTGTTATACTTTGTATTTATTTATTTTTTGTGTAATAAAAAATATGAAAGAATAACGACTTTGCACATCAATTACTTGAGACGGGTGCGATGGAGGAGAGGGAGCAGCCCAAGTCCTGCACACATACAATACCAAAGTATAAGTGCCGAAACGTAACACGAAACGTACTGTTTGTCCTAATAAATCTCATATTTTGCAAGTAAAACAGTAAGTCAGTTTTTATTTATATAGCACTTTAACAGACACACACACACACACACACACACACACACACACACACACACACACACACACACTTTCATACTAGGCAAGTGTGGATGAAGTGTTTGACAGTTTTTGACACTGGCGCCCCCCTGTGGCTCCTCATTTTTACACTGGTCTCCCATCCAAGTACTAACCAGGCCCGGCCGGCTGAGCTTCTGAGATCTGATGGGATCAGGCTTTGACGAGCCGGTATGACCACGGTGTGCGGGATTTTTCTCTGTGTAATAAAAAAAAATATTAATTAATTAATTAATTAAATAAATAAATAAAAATAAACAACAACAGCAATAATAATAATAATATAATAATAACAATAATAATAATAATAATAATAATAGCGATAACATAACAGCTATTTAAACCGTGTTACTGTTTTTATTTATTTATTATTATTATTATTATTATTTATTATATATATTTTTTTATTACACAGAGAAAAATACAAGTGCAATGTCGCAAATGCAAGTACAACGACGACATAAAAAAACACATAAAATCGAGTGCAATGTGTATGTATGAAAAAGAAAACTAAATTGTTGTCCATATTAGTGAAGATTTCTGTTTGCGATTGATTAATAATTGTGACTGAACTGAAACGTACTGATTTTAAATGCCGTCATTGTACTTACACTTGCGACACTGTAATAAAAAAAAAATATATATATAATAATAATAAAAAAATAAATTATTAATAATAATAATAATAATAATAATAATAATAAAGACAGGAACACGGTTTAAGCGTCTGTTGTGTATGTCATTCCTCTTCCTTACCGGCAGAGGGCGATAACACAAGACCTGTTTCCTCCCTGCACATGTAAACTTCCGTGCCACTGATAGCCGCACGCTTTGCAGAGCATCCGTACTTTCTCACGATAAACTTTAACACTAAACATGCTTTTATCAGCGTTATCCCGGCCGTGCGCGCTCCACGGGCCGCTCCGGGCGCTCAGAGTCACCGTAGCCGGGAGAGGAGCCTGTGTGTCGGCCTTCAGCTGCGGACCGGAGCCGCTCGTGCGCGCCGCGGGGAGGTCACTGCTCCGGCACGAGGTGACAAACACACACACCTCTGCTCTCATCACACTGCTATTACAGAGGAAATAAAATAAATAACAAAAATACGCTAATTAAATAAACGTGATTAGTGTCTTGTGGTGATTGGAGCTGTCACCCTGCTTCCGTTGTGTCCTTGGGCAAGAACAGATCAAGAGCCCTGTGTCCCCTGCCCCTGCAGATTTATCCAAAAACAGTGATTTGTCCCAGTTTTATTCAAGAAATGTCCCAGGTGTCTCTGTTTTTGACCAATTTGATCTAAACCAGGATTAAACTAAGCCTAAACCAGGACTACATCAGGTCTAAACCAGGACTACAACAGGATTATCTCAATTTTTGACTAATCAGATCCCTGCCAACAGTAAAGAGGAGCATAAAGTGTCATTGGTTTAGTCAGAAAAACAGAAATCCATGTTTGTGAATGACCATAAAGCAAAAAAATAATAATAAAATAAATGCAGCTACAGAAGTCCCTCAGATTGCTTTATGGTCATTCACAAACATGGATTTCTGTTTTTTCTGGCTGAACCAATGACAATTTATGCTCCTCTTTACTGTTGGCAAGGATCTGATTAGTCAAAAATTGAGATAATCCTGTTTTAGTCCTGGTTTAGACCTGATGTAGTCCTGGTTTAGTCTTAGTTAACTCCTGATTTAGATCAAATTGGTCAAAAATAGAGACACCTGGGACATTTCTTGTATAAAACTGGGACAAATCACTGTTTTTGGATAAATCTGCAGGGACAGGGGACACAGGGCTCTTGTTGTGTTCTTGACAGACATGAGAATCCACAATCTTAAATGCTCTTCTCACAGTATTATTTATACCAACCATCCAAACCCGGTTGATTCCCTAGAAATGTGTAAATCTTGTCACCCTGTTCTTGTATTAATTTAGCAGTTCATAGGTTTTTGGAATCGTTTAAAGCTTTGATCACATTAATAGCAAATCTTCTATATCTTCTTCTGTATTTCACAAAACACAGTGATTTTTTTTTTTTTCATGTGTCTGATGTGTTTGCAGAGTTTGCGTGTGCCCGGTCGTGTTCTCTGTCCTCCCTCTCGCTGGGCGTCCTCCGGGCCACAGTCGTCCGATGGACAGCTCATCTACACGGGGAGTCTGGGCACCGCCGTCCGAGGTCTGTTCACCAGCACACTGACCACGTTTACATGATGTTTTTTAACTCTGAATTTATAGTTCTGAATTAAATAGTTTGGATTTAAAATATTCTCATTTGAGTTTACACGGAAATGATCATTCTGAATTAAATCGCCTTTATTTATTTCTGCTCAGCGGGGGTTGGGAAAGGTTCTGATTGGAGAAGGGGAGCACAGAGTATAAGAGCATAAGTCGCACCCTCCAAAAGTCCATAATGAAGATTAAAGGTTGTATGGAGGATTTTTTTGGGTTTCAAGTTGTCAATGATAGCATTATAGAGGTGCAGTAGCCTTGTAATTATGATGACCAAAAAAAAGAGAATAAAAATTCATCAACTCTGGACGTGGTGGGGCTAAACATTTGCCAATAGATAACGACACTGCCTCGTTATCTGTGAGCTGACAGGCTGTCAATCAATCTCCCTACGTTTCTAGCGTAACTGACTTGCCTGCGCCGCCGGTACGTGGTTTACGTACGACTGTCACGCAGTCCACAGACGCAAGACGCACAGACGCTGTTTACTCCACCAACGCAACAGTTCTTAGCGGCTTTTTTTTACCTATATCTTCCTTGCAGTTTGCACAAAGTTTGTTGCAATGGCGACAAGAATCCAGGAGCAGTTCGCCGCAAAAGAAAGTCCGTTTTTGAGGTCGCTGAAAGAAGAAGACAAGGGGAAAAGCAGCGAAGCCAAACTAAGGTGATTCTTGAAGATTCATTCCAGCGATGGCGCAACTGAAGCAGACGCAGGGTCTAAAGACTGACACACTGGTCCACAAATTACTCCTGGACAGGAAACTTCTGCTTATTATGAAAACGTACTTTATTTCCAAGAGCTAGTCAAACGTTTTTCAGGACACGAAAGCGATATCCTATGTCTGAAAACGTAATTTTCAAGGCAAAGAAAGAGTCCGCTTGCTGCTGCGTGTTGTAGCTAGTTCATTCGCACGGAATCTCCGCGCAACCTTCTCTGCTCCCCTTTCCTGCTCCTGTCCCCGCTGCCTGTTCCGCTCTTCTCCCTGCTCCTCACTTCTCCGGGCATGGAATCTCCGCGCACCGCTCCCCTCTCCTCTCTCCTCTCCTCTCTCCCTTCTCCCTGCTCCGCTCTTCTCCCTGCTCCTCACTTCTCGTCCCGCGAACGAAATGTCCGCACACCCGCTCCCCCCGCTCCTCACTTCTCCGTCTTGCCTAACCAACACTGTAGTTAGTTGTTTACAAGTCATGTGCAGCGCACCGGCTGTAAACAAACCTGTTTCTGGCGTAAGGAGAAGGCGGGAGAAGGCGTTTCTACGTAGGGAGCTGTGGGGGAGGGGGGGTGGGTTCACACATGCGCAACATTTGAAAAAGGACAAACAGTCGCTGGATTTCTCGTTCCTTGGAAAATCCTCTATACAACCTTTAAGTCGCGTTTTTGGGGGGAAATTTACTTTATAAAATCAGTGACCAGGAACTGCACTGACATGATACAGACAGAACAGAGGCTCTTTCTGCAGGAGACATGCGCAGTAGAGTCAAGTGACAGTGGTACAGGAGGAACAGGAGCAGCAGATACTCACACACAAGACTAGAACCTCTCCACGCTTCACGCACTTACCAAAAAATATCCAACTACTTTTTTGTGAACGGGAAGGAAACTATAACTTAAGAGGCTTTTTAAATTTGAAACTGCCTCGTGCTCGAACGACAAGGAAGAGTTTTTTGTATCTCTGTTTGTGGTGTAAAGTTATGGAACAACATGATAATAGAACTAAAACTTTGTCCACATATACACGTATTCAAAAGTGCAGTTAAAAAAGGGATTATTTCAAAATACTGTGCTGATATATATCATATCTTTGTACATAATATACATATATTTGTTGTTGTTGTTAGATTTGTACTGTGAGTTATAGCTTATATTGTACAGAAAATGAGAAGTCTATATGTTCTTAGTTAATTTGGGACAGGAGAAAAAAGGGGTGGGGTTAAATAAGTATTTACTTCCCCCCACTCCTTTTTCGGACACAAGTAAAATCTGTGTGACATTTATTTTCGCTTATTATTACAGAAAATAAATATTTACTTTATGTGTTATATCTAAGTATTTATGTTCTCTATGTTACTGTCCAAATTAACATTCGTTCATTCATTCATTCACTCTCAACATTTTAATATGTAAGGGTCTGGTCAAGTGGTAACGGAGGGAAACGGGCAGATTTTTGACATTCAAATGTCTCTTATTCAGAAACTAGAGGAACTATTGAAATAAGTAAAGTATCAGAATGTAGGAAAGAGTTAACACTCCAACAGGGTAAAGTTAAACCTGTGATATTCTTTCAAGTTGTTGACAAAAAAATGTAAAAAACTCATGTCGGTAACAGAGGGAATGAAATATGCAGCACTTTTTGGGCAATAAATCCAAACAGTGATAACTCTTGGTTCTCACTTACATATCCTTAACAAACTGGTCTGAATATTTGCATCATATAGTTTTCTACCATATGGTACAAGATTAGGTTGAAAAACCTCTTACTTTTTGACTAATGAGATTTTTTTTTATTAAGAAAGTTCATGGTAACGGAGGGAAAAGTAACAGAGGGAAAATTGTTCAAGCAAGTAGAAGGTGCAGGATTTGACATAATTTGTCACTTTTTTCTTCTGAATACTTTAATATTACTTCAAAATGAAAGGAAACAATTTCTATAAAATATGTCAGTCCTTCCAAGCAAATTTTTATCATTTTAAATAATAAAAAAAAAAAATCATGTACCTTCATCAACATTTCAAAGATGAAATAACACAAGATATGATGAAATACATCCATTTATTTACATGATTTGCAGGTCTTTGAAATTTGGGAAATAATTTTTGTTCCATGTTTCATACATGGTCTGTTTAAAACATATGTAACTTTAGAACCAAAAATGGTACAGAAAAAAGGTCAACAGTTTCATAAACTAGAGCACATATGTATCTGTTCAATACATTTTTATATCAGATGAATTAACTTGAATTTTTGGCCTTGTTGTTTACTTCTGCTTGACTGGGTCCATCAGTCGCGATAAACACCCAAACTATGAAAAAAGTGCCACTTATTGTCCAAAAAATATGGTAGTTTGTTTCCTCACATTTTAAGACAGTAAAAATCAGATAAAGTGCCTTCTAGAGTTCACTAAAAATACTCTAAATAATCTATCTGCCTGTGTGTGTTCCAGGTGTGAAGGCGTTCTCCTACAGCACGAGCGGGGCCAGCCTGCTCCTCATGCCCCACATCCTGGTGACCACGGGCCTGAGCGCCCACAGCTGGGCCTATCAGCTCCTGTTCTGCGGCGTCATCGGCCTGTTCACCTTCATCACGCCCGTCCTGCTGCACCTCGTCACCCGGGGCTACGTGGTCCGGCTTTACCACCAGCCGGAGCGCGACACGTACACCGCCGTCACCTACAGCGTCTTCCTCACCGAGAAGAGGACCAGGTTCCATCAGGGGCAGGTGCGCATCCCGTCCGTCAGCAAGATGTTCACCACGTTCTACGCCGACAAGACGGGCCTGCTGGTGAACCCGGACTTGTTCAGCGTGCCCCAGGACTACAACCACCTCATGGGCTACGACAAACCCTTCAGCTTCAGCCCGGAGCAGATGGACGAAAGCTGAAGAAGAACCAACTCTAGACTTTAGACCCGATACAGAGTCTGGCTTTGTTTGTTGTACCGTAATTTCCGGACTATACGTCGCATCTTTTCCTCACACTTTGAACCCTTTTACAAGTAGGGGTGTACAAAAATATCCAAATATCGATATATCGTACCGTTTAATGTGATGATACAGTATCGATATTGTGGGCTGCTGTATCAGTATATCTCCAAGAGTTATTTTTGGTATATTTTACTAAATTATTTTGTTATAAAGCTACAGTTTTTGTTGTTTGTTTAGTGGAAGGAAACTTATTCATGTGACACATTTGACATTTTCACTGTTTTGATGATTAAAATGTTTGTGTTTCATAATTTATCAAAGACTTTTAGTGTCACAGCCATGATTTAGCCTTTATTTTTTTATAGAACTGTATCGAATCGATTTGAAATATACTGTATCGAACTGAAACTGTGTATCATATCGGCAACTTCTTATTGATACCGAGCCCTATTTACAAAAATGCGGCTAATATATGGACGGATTATTTATGTTTGTTACATTGCCCATTCATATACATGGTCTGTGGTTTGGCAGAAGTGCAGAAAGTGCTGCCGTGTGTGCGGTTAACTGGAAGTTACAGTGTTAGTGCTGTCGTCAGCACTAAAGTGAGTCTGATACGTTTTAATGACCCGTATGTGTTAAATGCATGTGAGTGCGTAAACGATGAGAAGAAACATCTCAAAGTTCATCAGCCGGACATCTACTCATACCTAATCTATAGAACTATCCCCGCCTCTGGGAGAGAATGAAATCTGCTGAAATCCTCCAAGACACTGACATGATCCAGACAGGACACAGACTCTTTCTACAGGAGACGTGTGCAGTAGAGCGTGGGGAGAGACGAGGCTGACGCGCCGAAGAAGATTCTCGTTTGATTGTGTTTTGAACATTTTGTGCTTCATACACACACCCTCCTCATGGAAAACACACGAAGAAATGCAGATGATGCAGCTTTTAAGTTAAAGGTGATCGATGTGGCTGTTGAAGAAGGAAACAGAGCTGCTGCACGTGAGCTCTGTTTGGTGAGACGTTGACAATGGCAGTGCGACAAACTGACGACAAAACCTTTCAGAGGCGATAAAAGCAGACGGCCCGAACTTGAAAATGTTCTCAAAGATGTGGATACCTGCGGCTTATAGACAGGTGCCGCCTTTAATTTAAAAAATAATACATTATTTTAAAATTTTATTGATGCGGCTTTTATTTAGGTGCGCTCAATAGTCCGGAAATTACGGTAAATAAAAGAAACACGTCCTCTGACTTGTGGGAGCTGACATTGCCGTAAACGTCATCACAGCAACGAGGCGTGAAGCTGGCACGCCGCACTAATGAGCTGCAGATTATTTTTCATTTGTACCAAAATGTGTTGTCACTCAACGCTGCCCGATGGTACGTGTATCACGTGTATCACCGATTAAGAAAATAAAACAGGAGAACAAAGTCAGTACGTCGCAGTGGGAGTGTACTGGTGAAAACAGGAGTCAACTAACAAAATGGCGTCTTGAAAATAAGCGATTAAAGACCGCTCAAACATGCACGGATCACTTCAAATACAATATTTGCATGAGGAAATAAGGAGAAGAACATGTGGACTTTGCATAATCTGTTTGCTTTAAAACAAAGACTAAAAGGAAGAGAAACTGAGAATCTGCTGTGTCAGACAAAATAGACATTGACTGACATTGTTGCTTCATTTTAGTAATAAAATAGCTCCATATACAGTTTGATTTTTTTTTTTTTTCATAAGGAACAATGTGTTCTTTGAATTATGATCCTAGATGCTTCACTCAGAGGAAGATGTGGTTTGCCTGTAGCCCTTTGTGTCATATCGTAAACATTGTAAAGGGCTGCACACCTCTGTGAAGTTGACCCCCATCAAATCCAAACCTACATAAAAACTATGTCAATCGTTTGTGCTGCAAAAAATGTTATTTGTGCTGCTTTAGTTTTTGAGATATTAATGATTCTTTTATAGGACAAATTGGGGTCAGGCAGCCCCACAGGAAGCTTCAAAATGCTCTAAAATGGCACAAAACGGAGTCAGTTGTTTGTGCTTCGTTTTTGTTGTTTTGTTCTGCAAAAAGTTTTGTTTGTGTGATTATTGTTCTTAAGATATTAGCAGTTTTATTTTCGCCACAAAATGTTAAATTGCCTCAAAACAGGCAGAAAGTTATACAAAATGTTTTTTAATTTGTGCTGTGACTGTTTTAATTTGTGCAAATATATTTCAAAAATTATTTATTATTATTTTACTATATTACTTTTTAATATAGAAAAGTCAGTATTATTATATAAAATATGAATCAAAAACGAGTTACTAAAGACTGATACATATTTTTTCTCTTCACTAGTTTTGTGGAGTTTTTTCTAAAGCCGCTGTCGTCAACTGAGTGGAAATGACGTCATATAATTTCTGCAAAGATTATAATTTTAGAAATATACTCGCACAAATGAAAACTGTCACAGCACAAAACAGAACAAATGAAATGCAAACGTTTTGTCTCCAAAACTAAAACAGCACAAACGACTGACAGTTTCTGAGTAGATAAGTGTTTGATGTGGGGCCAACTTCACGCAGGTGAGAGCTGCACATCTTCTCCTCTGTTAACAAGGATGAGGTGTGACAACTTAAATAAATATAATGAGAGGATCATTCATAAGTTTGGTCAGATTGACCAGTGAGGAACATTAAAAATTAAAATCTGTTGTGCAGTTAGGACAACTAAGATAAAAAATAATGTGTTACAATTACAATTTAGGCTTTAAAAAACACAAAAATAGACAAAAATAAAAGTATGTTGTGTTTTTTTTTTTTTTGTTTGTTTTTTTCATTTTGGTCATGTTTATTACAAGATTGTCTGTAACTATTTCTGCCTGCGCTCTGTGTCCAGCAGGGGGAGACACTGACCCGCTCTCTGTTGACCTCTCGGTTTACGTCAGTACGTCAGAGTCTCCTAAAATGATCAGGCCTATTTTTACCCGCGGAGTGAGATGCCTGGGCCGCCGTAAAGACGCGCTCACATGTGGGCCCCGCCGACTCCTGTTCTCTGCAAACACCAGTCCAAGTCTGAACTGATTCTGCTTCTACAAACACACAACAAAACACGACCAACAGATTTACTGTACACTGAATAAAACACCGACTACAGGCAAAATATACAAAAAATATCCCCGAGAAGTTGAGTTAAAAACAAATCTGATCTCTGACCTACATATTTACAGAAACATAACTGCATTTTGTCAGATTTGCGTAACTAATAAACCTTTTGGATTAACTTTTACTACGTTCCCATATTGTGCTTTATTTATTTAATGTTTTATAATTGAGAATAAAGGAAATATTGAAAATATTAAATTAACAGTTTCAGTGGTAATGACTAGTCAGGCCGGCGCCGCCTAGTGCCTCCACTCAATTTAATTTCTCAAGCAACTAGATCAGGACTCAGAAAACACTAGACCAGGCATGTCCAAACTATGGCCCGGGGGCCAAATGTGGCCCTCAGACTTCCAGGTGAATTGGCCCAAATGACCTTGCATCAATTAAAAAATCTTTTTTGACTGCAAGTTTTTTTTTGAATATCTACCTTGATAAAGCAAATATTTCATATTAAGTTTGTGGTTTTAAGTATCTTAGCGTGAATAAAGACTGATGTTTCATTCTAACGTGTTAAACATGCACATATTTCAGTTATTCTCTGTATTGAGCATTAGTCTATGGCCCTCGATCGGCCTTCTGCTTCATCTGTGTTTATGTATGTGGCCCTTGATGAAAACAGTTTGGACACCCCTGCTTTAGACGGTTTGCAAAAATCCCAAAAGTTGTAGCCCGCTCACCGGCGCAGACAGGAGGGAAGTGACGCAGACGATAAGGGCTGTGATTGGTCGTCCCTACCGCAGCTCTACAGACATTTCCTGTACTCGGCTTTCTGTTCTTTCAATATGTACTGAGAAATAATGTGTTTAATGCAGCTTTGCGCATATGTGTTTAAGTTTTACAGAAACAAAACTTAAAACCGCATGGCTCACTTGCATAAACTAAGAGCTCAAAAAAACAGCTCGCTCCTTGTGCCTTGACGCGGTTCATCTTCTGTCAGACTTTAAAAGGACACGACTCAGTGGAATATGAGTGTTCTTTCTGTGACAGAGGGATATTGTACTAATAGTGAGTCTGTTCTGTGCTTTTATTGTGTTGGAGATGGTTCATGTCAAACTTTTCAGAGATTATACGTCTGCAGGTCGTACACACAGACTGTATATATGAATGGACATATATCCAAGCCCCCTGGTGTTTTGGTGGTGAATTACATCGCTGTGCACAGACCTCAACGCAGATCCATAAATCAAAAACAACGGCGACGGTGGCAGTGACGCAGAACTATACTTCACCCTTACTGCTTACAAAGAGAGAAAAAGCGTGTGTATATATATCTATATATATATAAAATATAGACACACATATAAACTGGTGAGGAGGGCAGGGTCTGTAGTGGAGCAGAGCTTGACTCACTCACATCTGCGGCTGAGAAGAAAAGAGGAAACTAAACAAGCTCCTGTCCATCCTGGATCACCCCAGCACCTCCTGCACAGCTCGCTCTGGAAAACATTTGTCCCACAACTCATCCCTCCAGCTGATGAACGCAGAGGAGGGACTGCTCTGTTGCTGTATTTGAAATATTTAATTTACTTCAGGATCAATAGAGAATCATGTATTTATCTAAAATTAATATTGTACTGTGCAGAGTTTTGGAGTTCTTGGGTCTTGCGTTGACATTCAGAACTGTTGCACTTACTTTTTGGACATTTCATGGCAAAGTACAACATGATCAGTAGAAAAATGTGGCTTTTGCCCCTTCCTGGTAGCCTGATTCATCAGTCGGTTTCACTTCATTTCATTTTGTGGAAACCGTCTGACCTCACAGCATTAGGATTCGTTCACTTGACGGTAGGTGAGTACTTTTTTTAAATTAACCAGTCGCTGCTGTTTGGTTGTGACGTATGTAACTGGTATATTAAGTTTTTCCCAAATCCTGCTGGAAGAAGGACAATAACGTCTTTCCCCTTGATAAAATTCGCCAAACATTCTCTTTGTTCCAGCTTTAAATCCTCGATCTCGGGAATCGTCGCCAACACCGAATGTCTGTCTCTTCGCTGATTGTCTGGTGCCCGAACTCGCACTTCTGGGGTTTTTGCGAACTGTCTAGTGTATTCTGATTCCTGACCTAGTCACTGGACAGAAATGAAATTGAGCGGAGACACTAGGTGGCGCCAGCCTGGCTTCCGTCTGAGAGTCAAATGAAACAGAAAATGCAAACCAAAGTTCTTGTAGAGATGAAAATGCAAGTTAGGCTTTTTTTGTCTACTGTGGTCCAAAGCAAGAAAAAATATCTGACAAAGGCTTTTTTTTTGCCAAAACACTATTTTAAAATTAAAGAATAGATTTTGGACGTCGGCCATCGGAGTGTGCGATGCATTTTTTCACTTTTATTACAGCACCTGGGAGTGTTTCATCATCCCATTCTATAAAGTACTGGCATACGGTGACGCTGTGCTGACACATGAGTAAAAAAGTTGTGGAAGCACTACAGTTTAGTTGCTTTTTAAGAAGAAAAAAAAGAAAAAAGTTTTGGGGTCTTTACAAGATGCAGTATAGATATTGTAGAATTTCATACACAGTTAATCATTTATCACAGTATTACTCATCTCAACTCACTTTATTTTTAGAGCATTTTAAAAACAACACAGTCGACCAAAGTGCTGAACACAAATTATAACAAATATAAGAAACACATAACAAACAGTAACAGGTAAATATAATAAAATACAAATACAGGTAAATAAATAGTCAACCCTCAAACTAAGGGCCTGTTAGGCCTTGTTTCAGATCTGGTTAAGTCCTGGTTTTAGAGCTAATTTAGTCCTGGTTTTATTCTTGGTTTAGTCCTGGTTTAGACCTAGTTTAAACCTGGTTTAGTCTTGGTTTTAGACCTGGTTTAGTTCTGGTTTTAGACCTAGTTTAGACCTGGTTTTACTCCTGGTTTTAAGTCCTGGTTTAGACCTTGTTTTACTCCTGGTTTTAGTCCTGGTTTAGACCTGGTTTAGTCCTGGTTTAGACCTAATTTAGTCCTGGTTTTAGTCCTAGTTTAGACCTGGTTTAGACCTGGTTTTAGTCCTGGTTTAGACCTAGTTTAGACCTGGTTTTACTCCTGGTTTTAGTCCAGGTTTAGACCTAGTTTAGTCTTGGTTTAGACCTGGTTTAGTTCTGGTTTTAGACCTAGTTTAGACCTGGTTTTAGTCCTGGTTTAGACCTAGTTTAGACCTGGTTTTAGTCCTGGTTTAGACCTAGTTTAGACCTGGTTTAGACCTGGTTTTAGTCCTGGTTTAGACCTAGTTTAGACCTGGTTTTAGTCCTGGTTTAGACCTAGTTTAGACCTGGTTTTACTCCTGGTTTTAGTCCTGGTTTAGACCTGGTTTAGTCCTGATTTAGACCTAATTTTGTCCTGGTTTTAGTCCTGGTTTAGACCTGGTTTAGACCTGGTTTTAGTCCTGGTTTAGACCTAGTTTAGACCTGGTTTAGACCTGGTTTTAGTCCTGGTTTTAAAACTGGTTGAGACCTAGTTTAGTCCTGGTTTAGACCTGGTTTAGTCCTGGTTTAAAATGTAGTTTTAACCTGGTTTAGACCTGGTTTAGACCTGGTTTTAGTCCTGGTTTAGACCTAGTTTAGACCTGGTTTTAGTCCTGGTTTAGACCAAGTTTAGACCTGGTTTTAGTCCTGGTTTAGACCTAGTTTAGACCTGGTTTTACTCCTGGTTTTAGTCCTGGTTTAGACCTGGTTTAGTCCTGATTTAGACCTAGTTTAGACCTGGTTTAGTCTTGGTTTTAGACCTGGTTTAGGTCCGGTTTTAGACCTAGTTTAGATCTGGTTTAGACCTGGTTTAGTCCTGGTTTAAAATGTAGTTTTAACCTGGTTTAGA